AATAATATAAAAATTTTGTATGGTTACAGATGGATACCAGATTTATTGTGATCACTAAAGTATTTCAGTATCAAATAACTGTTGTACATGTGAAACTAATACAATATTATTTGTGGACTATAATTTTTAAAAAATAAATACTTTTTTTAAGTCTGTGCCAGGGCTGCAGAGTGGAAAGTACAGAGATTCTGCAATGAGAGGAATAAATTGGTTATAAATTGGGATCTTCCCCGATTAATCTGAGCAAGTAATTTTATTTATCTTACCCTCAAAGTCTTAAACTATAAAATGTGGCAAATGAAACATCCCTAGGGTGGTTGTGGAGGTTAAATAAGGTAACACGTGCCTGGTATATAGTTCTCATTAGTGTCATTATTGCAGTCCTCTACATTGTCAAGGTGTTCTCCCTTCTCCCCTCCAGCTTGGTGACTGTACCTGCCCTCCCTACAGAATCCAGGATTCTGAATACCTAAGGAGGCTCACTTTTTGTTAATCCTCATTCGAGGATATTATTCCATTGATTTTTAGAGAGAATGGAAGGGATGGGAGAGACATAGAGAAATATCAATGTGAGAGAGACACGATTGGTTGCCTCCCGCACGTACCCCAACCAGAGCCTGGACCAGAATTGAGCTGCAACTAAGGTACGTCCCCTTGACCAGAGTTGAGGCCGGGACCCTTCAGTCCACGGGCTGACACTATCCACTGAGTCAAACTAGCTAGGGCGAGACTTACTTACTAACAATATCCTGAAAGGAACTTGGCTTGTTCAAATTAAAGTCTCTTTGCTTTAGTTTATTTTTTAAATCTACACAAAGCATCTTAATTTCTTTGCCTATAATATTTTCTTCTGAATTCCCTTGCTGTGTTAGTTTCCTAGAGCTACTATAATAAATTACCACAAACTGGGTGGCTCAAAACATTTATTCTCTTTGTTGCAGAGGCCAGAAGTCTGAAATCAAGGTGTGGGCAGGGCCAAGCTCCCTCTAAGTCCCTACGGGAGAGAGTTGGGTTTCTTGGCTTATAAATGCATCATTCTGATCTCTGCCTCTGTTCTCACATGCCCTTCCTCCTTTTGTTTTGTCTGTGTTCAGATTTTCCTCTTCTAGGCACACCAGCCATTGGAGTAGGGGCCACCTAATCCAGTAGGAGCTAATCTTAACTCAGAACATCTACAAGCACTGTATTTCCAAGTAAGATCACTTCACAGGTGCTGGGGGTCAAGACTTCAACATGTCTTACAGGACACAATTCAACCCACAGCACTTGCCAGTCACTTTAGGTCAGGCTTCTAAACAGACATATGTGACATCAGTTTTTCTGCGTGTGTTTTTCTTTCTTTTTACTTCCAGGTAGTAATTTAATTTTGCTGTGGTTTCAAAAAACATTTTAAAGTGTCTAATCAGAAGTAATGAAATCTATCTTGATTTTTTACTTTTGTAAAGTAAAGAAAGGAATTTTGTATGGGAAGAAAAGCTGTTGGGGCCCCTTTCTAGGGAAGGTACTTTAAAACTGTACTGAGGAACAAGAGTTAAACTGAAAAGTATGTTTACAAAAGTTTATGACTTGGGTATGAATTGGCCAGTCAAACTTAGAGAGCCCCAGAAGCTCAGGCTGCTGACCTGCCAGCAGAAGCTGACTGAGCAGATCTCTGGCCACTTACACCCCTGATTTGAGAGTGTTAAAAGCGGGAAGAAGTCTCAGAGAGCATGGATGTGGTCAACTGCTTGTTCCTTCAGGGTGTCTGCAGGCCACCACTACCTGTAGCGGAGTCTGAGGTAGGTTATTGGAGAGTGTTGTTTGTTGGTGGTGCTGGGTTTGTAATTCCAGGTATAATCACACTCAAAGTGAGTTCCTCAGGATGAAAGTAGGTCATATTTCGAAAGTAGGTAAACTTTGCTAAAAGAAGTTTTAGCCGCCGAAACCGGTTTGGCTCAGTGGATAGAGCGTCAGCCTGGGGACTGAAAGGTCCCAGGTTCGATTCCGGTCAAGGGCATGTACCTGGGTTGTGGGCACATCCCCAGTAGGAGATGTGCAGGAGGCAGCTGATTGATGTTTCTCTCTCATCGATGTTTCTAACTCTCTATCTCTCTCCCTTCCTCTCTGTAAAAAATCAATAAAATATATTAAAAAAATGTCAAAAATAAAAGAAGTTTTAGCCTTGGAATATACATCAAAGTTCAGATTTGTTCTGTGAGGAATGTAAGTCGCTTCTGGCTAAGGATCTCTGTTTGAATGTGAGCTTAACGCTGAGGGACTTTACATTGTTCCCTCCCTCCTTCTCTCCTTCCCTCGCTCTGTTTGCTAGGAGTAAAAGGAACATTTCAATGTTACATGTTATTCTGTTAACTAAGTTTTGCAGTTCTAGAACATTTGGTACCACTTGGAGGGGGTGTTCTTGGGCTGTATCAGTGGTTACGGTGGAAGTTAGTTGCTTCTCGGGGGTGCTCCCATGCAGGCTGGTAGCCCCAGAGGGCTGATGTGTGAGGGAGTCAAGCCTGTGCTGGCCACCTCCTGCCCTCTAATTCCCTGCTTTCAGCCTCCATCACTTCCTAGAGTGTGTTTTGGTCTCAGAAGATTTATTATGTGAACAGCTAAGACAACTTCTTGTTTTTTTTTCTTACTTTGTTTGCATCAGTGAGGAAAAGCAGGTTGCATGTTGCATAAGTGCAATCAAAACCTCATGTAGATTTGTGACCAGACTACCCATTGCCTGTAATTTTGTTGTACTTCTGTTTTTCTAGCACATTCTTTCTGAACCTTTTTATCTCAGGGTAATAATATAAATAGGTTTAGTCTCATTGTGTGCTTAAGTCGTCTGTGCCATTTGATGTGGTAATTTAAACTATCCATAAAAACCTGTTTTTCATATGTAATAAAATAATATAAACATTTCCATGACTTCTGTTATACTTTCCCAGGGCAGTGTCACAGAGGAAAAACTTTTCCTCTGCCCTCTTAGGTTTATGCTTAGGGGTTCTTAGAATTAAAGTTGACAAAAGGCAAATTTGGGAAAGGCATTTTTTATTCATGTAGGTAAGTGGGAGTTCACAGAAAAGTGTGACTCCAGGAAGTGTTTGAATTGGGGCCTTATATACCATCTTAATGAGGGGGAAGGGTGCTGATGGGAAAACAGGTGACTTTTAGGAAAAGTAGCTGGGACTGTGAAGAACAGGTGAGAGATAGGATGGTTTTGTGACCCTGTCTCTGTAGGTGAGGGCTTCTCTGGAGCGGTAAGAATGCATCTTCCCTGGTTGGAAGAAAGAAACTCTATCCAAGGGAGCAGATTATGACAACTGAGTTCTTCTGGGTGGCCCTGCTTTAAGGCAGATGACGGAGTTCAGAATAAAAGCCCAACCTTAAATACCATCAAAACAGATGGAAGGCCATGGTGGTGCATTCTGGACCCCTTCAGTGGAGACTTAAAAGAGGTAGATTCCGGGCAGTAGAGTCACTAGATAGCAAGGTCATTGGTGAATGCTAGAACCCATCTTCCTTTGAGCAGAGGTGACTCGGTATCGAGGAAACAGAAATTACGAGGCCCGCATTTCTGTGTCTCTGTTGCTGCTCATTGGCTGTGTGGCCCTAAGCAAATCACTTCTCTAGGTCTCAGTTTTCCTGATTTAAAAAATGATGGGCACAGGGTAGAGCATCTGTAAGTCCTTTCCTGTTTGCTTTGCTCTTCAGCACATTTCCCACGGTATGTGATCTTAGGGGATGCGTGGACACACCAGATTGGAAATTACAGGACCTGCATTTCAGGTCTCAGTTGCCACTGATTGGCAACAGGTGGGATTTCTTGGGCCAGCAGTGCTCATGGGCGGGGCGGGGGACGGGGGGCGGGGCTGGTCTGCCAGGGGAGGCCACAGCAGCTCAGCTGGCCATCTCCATCCACTAGGTGGCCTGCCCTGCAATCACATGAGTTTTCTGGGTAATTTAGTTCCCTTCTGGTGCTGTTATGTTTTTATTGTATTTTAAATAATGTATAGGAATGGAAGAACTGAAGGCACCCAGGCTCCCAGGCCTGCGGCAGACTTTGGCTAACCCCTCCCTGCCCCTCCCATAGAGCTCTGAGACCAGTCTCAGGGGTCTGCTGAGGTGGAGCTCATCTCCAGGCTGTGCCAGTCAGGGGATTGTAATTCTATGGCAGTGCCTTTTTAAGAGGGATGATTAACTATGGCTGATAGGGCTCTTACCATTGTATTTCATCCGCACTAGGACCCATTTTTCCCTAGGGAACAGTTACAGAACCACATCCACAGAAGTAACTTGCCTGAGGTTAATAAAGCTAGGGGCCCAATCTGACCAAAGTCTGCTCATTCTCAAGCCTTATGGCTTTTTCCCTAGTATATTGTATTGCCTCTGAAAAAGTTACTTGAAAAATTAGAACGTGTTAGGATCATAGACTCTCCAGCTGTGGTATTGTCTACTCTGAAACCTGAGATCCTGAAGGGTCAGTTAAGAGGTGTCCAAGCTCACATTGCTAGTTAGTAGCCTTATCTGGTTCGTGGAACCCTAATTTAGTGCTTTCTCCTCCTTCCCTAGCAACACAGACTTAATCTTCTGAAAGCACCTCCTATTTTTAAACATTATTGCAATACAGTACCTTAGAGTAGCAGTGGGTAGCATTGCACACTCATTCTTCTACTGGCAGACCTGCCCTTCCCCTATGCTATTGGTATGTGTATTTTGGGTGACACCCCTACCATACTTATAAGTTCTTTTTGTTAACTCCTAATGGTACTGATTTTTTAAGTATCTTTTATCAGGGCTCACTAGTCAGCAAACATCACTATTTAAATTCATTTTAATTCAACTTACAATTGAAGACAGACATGGTTATTTTAATCCACATTTCAGTTATGTTTGTTACACAAAAACAAGTAAATCTAGAGAGCCTCCTGGTGGGCCTAAGGGAGGGTAGAGGGGAATGTGTAGCATGTTCTCCTTACTACCTTCCTGGATATTGGCACTCATCTGACTTGTTCGAATTTGAAAAGGTTGTTACTGAGGAATCCTGGAGGCGGGGCTCATCCCTGGAGGAAGATGGGAAGGAGGCTCAGAGGATCCCCAGGAGGCGATGGGGCTCTGGGAGGAGGTCCCGGCCTCGACCGCTCTCAGACTATGGCCAGTTTGCCTGCCGAAGTTTGTCTATTCCTGAAGACTCAGTTGCTGTGGACCCCCAGAAGGAGGACATTGTAGACAGTGACCACCAGCTGAACATGGCCTCCACGGTCCCCGCAGACCAGAACGCAGCCATGGGCTGCCCCAAAGGATGCCAGAGAAGGCGCCCCATCTCCGTGATAGGCGGGGTCAGCTTCTATGGGAACCGCCAGACAGAAGCAATAGAGACTCTTCTAACCCAAGTAAGACCTGGTGTGCTTCTACCAAAGCCAGCAGAGCCCTCCGCTTCCTGGCCTTTGTCCCTCCTGCAAGCTAACGGGACGCTGCTTTCCTTTCTTTCCTGACTCACGGATGATGTCCTCTGCTCACAACCTTTCTTCCGGACTTCACAAACTGCACATATTAGAACTAATAATCTGACTTTGGATGTTTTACTAATCTTCTGTCTTTGCTGTGATCTTGAATGATGTGTGAAAGTAGTTTGCTGTTTGTTCCAAATCATCTGAGGTTTGAACAAGGGGAACATAGCAGTGCGTATTTAGTGAGCTTCCTGAAAGAGAAAGCATCATCCATTGTTAACGCGTAAAAATAAGAAGAGAACAAAGAAGTCGATTTTTTTAGGAGATAAGGAAATAATTTTTTTCTACCATTTTCTTGCTTTTGAGTTGTACTTTCTCAATTGCTTTAACAATAGATTAAAATCTTAATTTCATTCACTTAGTATAATGTAGTAATTCAGCAAGTATTTATCAGTTACTCATAGGGCTCTTTGAGGATACAAAACATTTAAATAAAGGCCCTGGTCAGGAGGAGTTTCTGTTTTTTGTCAAGGCTACACGCCAGCCCTGGCCCAGGGTTCACCAAACAGTACAAGAGTAAGTGTCCAATTTCATACTTTAAATTTGCTGGCTGATACCATAACCCATAAAATTCTCCTAAAAGGGAAAGTCTATGTCGATATAGCTTTTCTGTTTATGTTCCGCCTGTAAAGCCCAGCACAGCACCTTGTTTATACATTGAGCATGCAAAACCCTCTTGCTTAATTGAATTAAATTGAATTGAATTCTTAAGGTAAAAACAAAATAAGTTGAAGAATACCACAAACATTTTGCTGTGTTAAGATGCTCTGCATGCTGGGAAATAATTCTGAACTAAAGCAAACTGTGACCTCTTAATTCAAAATACACAGAATATGGAAAATCTAAAGCACTTAAAATTATTTCGCTTTAGAACATCAAAAAGGAGTGTGGTCAGATACTTTCTGCACAGTAAGCTCATTTAGGGAACTCGGTGAAAAAGCTAAAGAAAGCACCAAGCAGCTGGGCCTGTGTTGCTGTTACAGGGACTGTTAATGTGGAAAATCAAAAGGGCATAGAGATGATTCTATAGACAAGGGCAAATTTTTGAAAACCCAGCTCTTCTTTTAAACAAAGCTTGGTTGTCTTGTTATTTTAGGTAAACAAGAATTGTATTCCACAAATACTTGGCTGGTTCCTGCACGTGGATGCGTACGAGACCAGAGTAAATAGCTGAGCCACAATTGGTCACCCTGGCCATGGTCTTTGGCACTGATTTTGCTTCTTCTGAAGGCTGCTACTGGGAACACGTCTTCCTAACCTGTATCTCTGAGAAAGCCACCACTTCCTAAATTTGCTTTTCCTCTTCTTAACTAACATTTTGCTTTTACTGAGTGTTGCCTGTTGGTATGTTGTTGACAGATAAAATGAAAAATGTTGCTGTGAGGTAAGAGCCAGTGGGTTGATACCGATTTTTTTAAATGTCAGAATAACTCATTGCAGTTCAGCCTCAGTGCAGCTGCAAGCTTTTCACATGCTTCAGAGAAACCATGTCACATCTGCGAGGAGCTTCGAGGTGAGAACGCTGAGCTCCTTGCAGCTAAGCTGTGTGTGTGAAGAGCTTGCAGAGCTGCCACTTCCTGGCATCTTCTCACAGCCTCTTGCTTTCCTTTTGTAGCCAGCAGCCAGGCCACCCGTGCCAGCTCACCAGGTGCCACCCTACAAAGCAGTTTCAGCCCGGTTTCGGCCGTTCACATTTTCCCAGAGCACCCCCATTGGGCTGGACCGTGTGGGACGACGGCGGCAGATGCGAGCATCCAATAGTAAGTCTCACAGGCCCCCTGTTTGGGGTCTCCCCTTTCAGCAACTGGTGTGGAACCCTTGCTTTGACTCTCCAGTTAAACCAGGGTGTCAGTTCACTGTGGACCTTTCCGCCTGTCTCTGGGCCAGATAGTTGTTTGTCTCACTGTGAGGAAGGCTCACCTGAGGAATCAAGTTTGTCATCAGCTGTCATGTCCCGGGTGGGTGCTCTGCGTCATTACAGTGGCCCTAAGTATGAAAAGTTTGCTCCTTTCTGTGCACCTCAGTGTTCCTGCAGGTAGACAGCTGACCCAGAATGCAGTTTCGGGGGTTCGCCTTAACCTTCTTGAAGCTCTTTCTGGATATTTAAGATTCACCAATACTGTTTTGAACACCAAAGAAAAGATATCTAATACAGTAGTTAATATGCCACCATAGCACTTACCCACTTGTTAATTTGAAATAATACCACGTGTTTGGGGAAGATGTTTAAACTCCTAAAAAAGACAATCTTTCCCTGTACTAACATTTATGCCCATACCAGTCAGCTGGGTGGATACTGGCATGGTCCTGGTGGCACGGGGCGAGAGTCAGAGCTGATTTTTATTGAGAACCTACGACATGGCAGACACCATCCTGTGTGCTTGCTTGGATGTATTCACATATTCGATCTTCTTAACTCGGCGCCATGGTGGTACTGCATTATCCTGTTTACAGAGAAGGAAGCCTAGGTATAGATAGGTAAGCTGCCCTAGGTCACTCACCCAGGAAGTGGCAGAAATGGGATTTACCTCCAGTCAAACAGAGTTTTCAGTAGCAAGGCCCATGCTTTAACCACTGAACTATGCTGACTATATAAAGAAATGCACCAGACTATTAATGATTAGCTTCAATTGTTGGGTTTACTGTCTGACTTTTAAACATGAATGTCTTGTGGTGAGCATGACAGTGGTGAGCTGGGCGGCAGGAGCCGCAGCCTAGGCCCGGGCTCTGGTTGCAGCACTGCCACTAGCCTGCCCGCGTGGGCACGCTCCCCGTGATGCTGGTGATGGAAGCTGTAAGAAGCAGGGAAGGGGGGATGAGGACACATTTGTAATACCTTAACTAATAATAAAATAAATTAAAAAAAAGAAGCAGGGAGAGTTAAGTAATGATTTTTCAAAAGACTTCAAAGAGGCTAAGGGTGTTACTTGGAGAACACTTAAATTTCAGAGAGAGGAGGGCAAGAGAACAAGGAGGTGTGGAATCCTTGTTCTCAACTCTTGCTTTAGACGGGGCAATAAAAAGGGCACAGAAACTGTTGAAGAAGGTGTCCTGGGAGGGCTAGCATGTAAGAGGTCAGAGAATTGGTGACTTGTGCAGTAACTTGGCATGGTTTCTAACTCGTGCCACACATATTGGAGGAATTGAGGCGAGACTCCTTCATCAAACAGGCAAAGGCAAAGGGAAATTAGAGGGCAGCTGGACGCTGAGGAAATCTGCGATCATCTCAAGCCCAGATGTCCAAGAGAGCGTGTTTCTGGGAAACAAGCCTGTGGCTCCTCCTGTCACTGATGCCTTTGTCATTCTCTCAAGGGAGCAGGCCAGACACCTTGGAATCATTACTCCCCTCATCCGTAGTCACTCCTCTGGCCCTCAGCAGCCCCTGCTTCTCAGGCCCCTTAACCCTGACCTTCAGCTGCTGCCCTCCCCCATGGCTTGCTTGGGCCGGGCTTTTATACACTCTAGTCAGAGATATTGTTCATATTCAGTTCTTTTTTGTTGTTGTTAATCTTCACCCAAGGATATTTTTCCATTGATTTGTAGAGAGAGTGGAAGGGAATGGGAGAAACAAAGAGAGAGAGAAACATCAGTGTGAGAGAAACACATCAAATGGTTGCTTCTCACATGTGCCTTTACCAGGCCTGGGGATTGAGCCTGCAACCAAGGTATGTGCCCTTGACTGGAATCGAACCCAGGACCCTTCAGTCTGAGGGCCTATGCACTATCCACTGAGCCAAACCAGCTAGGGCATCAACTCTTACTTTGTTATTTCCTTGCAGACTTTCCCCATCATCATTGACGTAACATCTTAATTCCTTAACCGAGTTTACAGGCTTCTCCGCTACCTCAGTCTGACATTCCATCTGTGTCTCTCACTTCTCTTTCCCAAGCTTACCGTTCATGTTCCCACCATCCTCCAGGCTCTCACACTCCCTTGGCTCTGGTTCGCCTAGAATTTCTTTCCTTTCCTTTAAGCATTCTTTCCATTTAAGATTCAAAACTCATTCCCATCTACCCTTGGCAACACAATAAATTCATTGTCATGCTTCTGCAGAGCAGTTTAGCCCCAGGCTGTGAAACATTCTCAGATCAAGTCATTGACTTCTGGTGATGTATTTTGAGAAAGTTATCCAAATGGAGAAAAAAGCTACATGCACAAGATGTTCTTCACAATATTATTTGTGATAGCAAAAAGTTGCAGTGTCAGTGTCATTACAGTGGACTATGGATTTGGAGTCATGTGGGTTACTACTTCAAAACAGTATCCTATATAATAAAGAGGTAATGTGCAAATTAACCCTCATGCCCTCACAAGATGGCTGGCTATGACCAGGCCGGGAC